CAGTAGGTGCTTAATGTTAATTAAATGCATGAATTGATGAAAAGATGTATAGCAACCAGTGTGCTAGGAGAAGGGGCATGGATTTTTAAGATAAAATACAGTTTCTGTATTCAAGAAATCATCTATCCAGCAAACATGCACTGAGGTCATCTCTATGAGTAAGATTCCATTTCTACCTTCCTTCAGGGATCACATGTCACTAACCTAGGCAACAGGACTCTGATATTGGAGGGGACAGGTATGGAGTAAGAAGAGAATTTAGATATCTGGGTTCCCAGGCTGACATTGCCACTTTCTGATTGTATGACCACAAGTCTCCTCTCTCTGAGGCTCCATCTTCCATCTGAGAAATGGGAATAGTAATACCAATCCTACAGGGCTGTGGAAAGATATGAAATAAATAGGAATACCAATTGCCAGATTTTACAGTGATCTTGAGTGTAGGAGGATGGTCATACCTTCCAGTTTGCCTGGAACAGAACAAAGACGCCTGTTGAAACACAAAAATTAATAATAGCATTCTCTTTCATCCTCAAAGGTGTCCTGGTTTAGCCAATAAGTTATGTGGGGGTATAGATTTGACTAGAGCTCTACATTCTGCTCTGGGACACAAAGGATGGAGTAGGTAAGTCTGATTGTAGAAAGGAGGGTGGTAACTACGGAAGTGAGCCTGGAATTATGAATAAATGATACCAGGAAGAGAGGCATAGAAAGGGCTTAACAGGGAGAGAGTCCAGCACTTGCAAAGAAGCAAGGCTTGAACTGTTTAGATAATACAAAAAAGGCCAAATGGCTTGAGCCCAGGAGGCATGGAAGGAGACTGAGGTATCTATAGTGCTAGCTGTGGAATATGTTTGCCTAGACCTAGTGACTTTCCATAAGAGATCAACTGAGAAGCTGGGGTAAATTTCAGGCAGAAGCCATAATGAGGCCTGAGCTAGGACAGGGCCCAGGGACGTAGGGTGAAGTTCCATAAGCACTTGGGAAGTACAATGGATAGGATTTCCATGTGAGGTTCAGAGGATAGGCTGGAGGCAGGAGGATTTCCAGGTGGATGGGGAAACTATTCACTGAGACAGGAGAGAGCAAAGACCAGGAGACTGAGAAGGTAAGAGGTAAGTCAGATCAGGGCTGACTACGCATTCATCACTCTTGATCCAGAGAGAAAATGCGGGGATTGCAACAGGCAAAGTTTACTTCTAAGGCTAGAGGAAGGAGCTGGGGCCCAGTCAGTATTCAGGTAATAATCTGATTAAAATTAGCTTTCAGAGCAGGGTGTGGTGGTGCACATCTATAACCTCAGCACTTGGCAGGATGAGACAGGAGGATAAAGAGTTCGAAGTCAGCCTGGTCTACATAGAGAGACCCTGTCAAAAAGGGCTGGAGATGTAGTTCAGTGGTAGATGATTTGTCTAGTACATACAAGGCCCTGGGTTCACTCCTAAACAATACAAAAAAATAAAAATAAAAATTAGCTTTCAGATTAACCTTGAAAGGCAAAAGAAAGCTTGCCTCAAGTAAGAAATGGGCCTCAAGTAAGAGCAGGTTTTATATTCCAACTTCATTGTATATATAGCTGTCCTTGACTAAAACCTGCTACAAGGCTCTACTACCTAACAGAATAAAGGCTGAGGCATTCAAGGATCCTGGTGGCATGGCTTCAGCCTGTCTCTGGTGAACATTTCATACTTCATCTGTTTATTGGCTCCTCCCTTATGACAGCCCAGCTCCTTCCTTTGGAAATTTGTTCCTCCCCCATCCAGTCATATAATCTACATGGGATGTGTTAGTCAGCTTTCTGTTACTGTGACAAAAAACCTAGGAGAAATAAACTTAAAGGAGGAAAGGTTTATTTTGGCTCACAGTTTCCGAAGTTTCAGTCCATGATTGACCCAACCGTTTTTGTTTTTTTTTTCCCACTGGTACTGGGGCTTGAACTTAGGGCCTACACCTTGAGCCACTCCACCAATCCTTCTTTGTGATGGGTTTTTTTGAGATAGGGCCTTGTGAACTATTTGCCCAGGGTTTGCTTCAAACCTCGAGCCTCCTGATCTCTATCTCCTGAGTATCTAGGATTACAGGTGGGTCACTGGTGCCCAGTGACCCAACTGTTTTTGAACCTATGGTGAGCCAGAACATTATTGTAGTAGGATTGTATAAGAAAGGAGGCTTTTCACCTAATAGTGACTGAGAAGCAAAGAAAAAGTGTGCTTTTATAACAAAGTCCTGGCCCCCAAACCTGTTAAGCTATGAATTCATAAATGGGTTAATCCATTGATGAGATCAGAGTCCTCATGATTCAATCACTGCTTCATTGTGGACTAAGCCTTCAACAAACTAAGCCTTTGGGGAGCATTTAAGATCCGAACAATAACATGGGGGCTGTCAATCATGGCATCTCATGCTCCATAACCACTGGTGTGAGTAAACATGCAACCAATCCTAGTTATCTGAGTCCTTCTGTAGGATTTTGAGTATTTGAAACAAAGAGAATCACTCAGGTCTCTGGCAAGGAAGCTGGAAGGTATAGCACAGTTCCAACTTGGAGAGAAATAAAAATGAAGTAGGAAGCTAGGGTATAGCTTAGTGATATAGCCCTTACCTAGCATGTGCAAGGCCCTGAGTTTGATCTCTATCACTGCCACCCCACCAAAAAAAAAGTAGTGAGAAAGGATAATATTTAATAGGTATGGAGTTCCAGCTTGGGATGAAAAAGTTCTGGAGATGGATGGTGGTGATGGTTCCATAACAATATAAATGTACTTAATGTCACTGAACCATACACTTAAAATTGGTTAAAATGGTATGTTTTATGTATTTTAAACCATAATACTAATAAAGAAGCTGACATGCAAAGATGAATGATGGGTACAGGAGCTGGGTGGTTCCCTGGATGCAGCTGGTCCAGTTGGTCTTTGAGCCCAGCTGCTGTGGTCCCAACAGTGCACAGGGTTACTTGAGCCCAACATTACTCTTTGGCCTAGGCTTATTCATACCAGGCTTCTGTTTCTTTCATCCAATGGAGCCATGAAACAGAACTTTTCCATTCTTCCTTCTCTGTCACATTCTCTCAGACATTCTGTTCTCTTGTCACACCCTGCTGCTCCTACTTCTTCAGATTGATCCTTTTCCTTCCCCCATGCCTTTCTTTCTGGCTCCCTCACCCTTGGAATTTTCCAAAGTCTTGTGTTGAGATGGTGGAGCCCAAATGGTCTGAATCTCTGAGTTAACCAAGTAGAATGAAGGGGAGCTACCTGGGAGAAGAGTGCCTTGACCACATAGCAGCTTTAACATGAGTGAGGGAAATACATCCTTGGTAAGCCATTGAAATATTTGGGTTGTTCATTACCACAGCAGAACCTAGCATAGCCATCAAGCATGAAACCTTCTTCCTACTTGAAGATAAACCCTCCACCCTCCGTAAAGGACTCTTTGGTATTGCCAAATCCAATGATCACTTCTCTTTTCTTATCTTTCTTGATTTCTCAGCAGCATTTGTCACAATTGACCACTCCCTCCTGGAAACAATTTATCTTGGCATCTGTGACATCATATCTGTTTGGTTTTCCTCTTAGCTTACTGGCCCCTGCTTCATAGTTTTTTCTTGTTGGATCCTCTTCCAGTGGGTTGTTGTTGTTACCTCAAAAATTTCAAGATCTGGAGACTTGGTTTTAAATACTGCCCATGAAAAAGACTTCTGAATATGTTCCAGTATTCAGTATACCATTTTAAAAAACGTCTTAGCTAGTTTGCCCAGGGACTGGTACCCAGGGCATACTAGGCAAATATTCTATCACTGAGCTACACCTCCAATCAATATTCTGTCATTCCTTAGCAATAACAAGAGCCATATTGTTTAGCTGGGCATATTGTACCCAGGTTAAAAAATAATGTACAATTCCCAGGCTCCTCTGCAGCTAAGTATGGCCATGTGATTATGTTTTGGCCAATGAAATTTAAGCAAAAATGTGCAGGCCTTCCAAGGCAGCCTTCTTAAAAGAAAAAAGGCACACCTGTCTTCGCATTTTCCTTCCCACCATTTGAAATGTGGACCATTATGAGGTGACCTTAAGACTGGTAACCAAATGCTGAGGATAGCTGAGCAGACTTGAACTGCTTACCTTTAGACTTACTTTTCATGAAAAAAAGAAATTTCTATCATAAGCATTTTGCTGTTGTTATTTGCAACTAAATCTAATTCTGATGTTTTCATTGCTATTGAAGCTGTTTGCCTGTCTCCCATTAAGAGCCCAAGAGTCCCCAGTCAGAGGAGCTGGGGAAGAGGAACTGGGAGAAGGCATTTCCAGGCAAGAAACTGCTGGGGCCTCCTTCCACAAATGGTAAATAACCAACGTACCAGAAAGATGGAATGAAAAAAAAAAAGAGGAAGATGGAATGGAAGGTGGATTTAGAAACACAATTTATTACTTCACAGAGATCACTGAATATTAGATTATGAAATTTGGACTTTCATCTGCAGATCCCTTGCAGATAGGGGACCCTGTCTGCTCTGTCACATTTTGTAGGTTCTCAATGAATTAATATATTCTCTGTTAATTAATGCTGTTTGCCTAATGAACAGTATCAACAGAAATGTTGGATGGTGGACCAGTTGGAAATTACCATCTGATCAACCCATCAACTTTTCATAGCCGAAGTAACTGAAGCTTCACTTAATGGAAGGGACTGTCAGCGTGTCTCTAAGGAACAGTGCGCTGAAAGTTCACCTTGGGGATGAAGACGGGTAGAGGTGATGAAACGTTGGTGGAGGCCAAGAACCGCAGTTGGTCAGGGCGGCTCACAGCTTGTACAATATGGCCGCGCTAGAAACCACCTGACCAGGAGGAGGCGGGGCTTCGCCCCTGCTCGCCTGCCCCGCCCCCGGCCCCGCCCATCGGCCCTCGGCTCAGGCGGCGAGGGTTGTGAGGTGTCCGAGTCCCGCGCCTGCGCAGTGGGCCGGGGCGCGCGGGGCGGAGGCTTTATAACCACTTCGTAGCCACTGCTCAGCTTCTATCCGGGAGGGCGGCCGAGGCTTCGGCGGCGGCCGGGGCGCCGGCTAAGGGGCGCTGAGGCGGGAGCCGTGGTGGCGCTGGGCGCCCCTAGCCCCTCGGCCTCTGCGGGTCATGGGCTCCGAGAAAGATTCTGAGTCGCCGCGGTCAACATCCCTATACGCGGCCGCGCCCGACCCCAAGTGCCGCAGCGGCGGCCGGCGCCGGCGCCTCACCTTCCACAGCGTCTTCTCCGCCTCTGCCCGCGGCCGCCGCGCCCGGGCCAAGCCACAGGCCGAGCCGCCGCCCCCGGCCGCGCCGCCGCCGCCGCCCGCTCCGGCCCCCGCCGCGGCCCAGGCCCCGCCGCCCGAGGCGCTGCCCGCCGAGCCGGCAGCCGAGGCCGAAGCAGAGGCCGAAGCGGCAGCCGCGGGGCCGCCTGGGCTCGAGGATGAAGAGACGGCGGAGGGCGGCGGCCCGGGCGCGGAGGAGGTGGAGTGTCCGCTGTGCCTGGTGCGGCTGCCGCCCGAGCGGGCCCCGCGCCTCCTCAGCTGCCCGCACCGCTCGTGCCGGGACTGCCTCCGCCACTACCTGCGCCTGGAGATCAGCGAGAGCCGGGTGCCGATCAGCTGTCCCGAGTGCAGCGAGCGACTCAACCCGCACGACATCCGCCTGCTGCTTGCCGACCCGCCGCTCATGCACAAGTACGAGGAGTTCATGCTGCGCCGATACCTGGCCTCCGACCCCGACTGCCGCTGGTGCCCAGCCCCCGACTGCGGGTGAGCGCGGGGGCGTGGCCGTTTGGGGCGCGGGGCAGCCGAGGGGCGTGGCGGGGGGGTGTTGCAGGACCCCGAGTGGGGCCAGCCGAGAGGGCCTGACTTGGGTGCAAGCGAGGGTGTCCCCCAGGAGGGAGGGGAGACAGGAGGGCGGCAACTGCGGCGGGGTGGCTACCGGTAACTAACCATCCTGCAAGCCCGGACGAGTGGTCTGCAGGCACCCGTCCAGGGATCGCTAAGTGGAAGGGAACTGTCCAAGTCTGGAGACCCGCGGAGGCGTTTTTTGTTTTTCAAAAATGTGGCGCAAACCCCTCTGTTCGGATGTGTGTGTGTGTGTGTGGTGGGGTCTCTCTCTTAATGAGAGGGAAGGGGATCCTTGACAAAGGAGGGAATGCGAATGTGATTCTGAAAGGGCAGCGCCTTAAAGGGGCGTGTCTAGGGACACACTAAGCAGCATTGCACGTTCCTTTTCCAGACAACCGCTGCTGAAAGTTGAGTTGGAGATGATGGCAATGCACTAGGGGAAGAAGACAGCTCTCCCGGGCAGAGCTCTGGGAGCACCCTGAGCACCATGTGTGGTGCCAAGCCTTTGGGAGGCACCCATGGTTCCTATCCGGCTGCTTTGGACAGGTTGAGGGGTGGACAGACTCTTCGTCCAGAGAACCATGGGACACAGACCAAAAATGCCCAGAGATTGATATTGTAGAAGAAAATGTGTTTGCCAACCCTTCTGATCTTGAAATCTTGATGACAGTCTTTTTTAATTCGCTGGGTAGGCTTGATTTCAAAAGTCAGTGAGCTAAATTACTCTGTACCTGCAGACTCCCCCGCCCCATACCACCATATTTTTCTATCTGAAAGACAATTCAGTGGAGACCCTACACCCTCCTTTAAAAAGTCTTGATTGTCACTGTACATTCTAAGAATAGTTGCATGCAGCCAAAAGGGCCTCATTTAAGTGATTGAGTGTTAGACTGCCATCACCTGCTTTGTGATCTTGGACAAATAATTTTTTCTTGATTTGGGAGCAGAAGATGCAGCAGTGTCGTGGGTAGATGTAATACTAGTAAAAAGCTATGTGATTTGGCTTCAAAGAAGTTGAGGGCTTTTAATTGTAGCCTATGTAACAAGGCTGTTTTGAAATTTCTCTGATGCTGCCTTTTGTCTCCTTTTAAAAGGAGCCCTTTTTGAGTGTCATACTTGTTTAGAAATGGTGTTATTTAACCTGAAATGGGGTTTCTAAATTACTTTGAAGTGTTGTGATCAAAGGTACCCAGTTTATAGTAGATCACTTTCACTTTCAGTTAATAAGTATCAGGAAGGACTTTGCAGGCTCTTGAAAAAGTTTGTTTATTTCTGGTGGTCTTACTGGCCCTATGAGGTTAATTTTTATAGTATTCAAGTTTTTGCAGATACTGTTGATCTGTTTTGTGAACTAAGGGAATATTAACTTAAGAAAACACTGCATGATTCATTTTGAAATAGTGTATTAACAACTTTTTTTGAAATGTCAGTTTCCTTTAATTTTAACTTAAGAAATGTGACTTACCTGATCATCTTTCTGGGTAAGCGCTCCTTTTGTTTTTTTTTTTTTATTTCTCTGAAGTCAATCTTTGTCTTTACTCACATCAATAAAAATAGACAAATGAATTTGAAAGTTTGGTAACAATTCTAAATCATTACTAATTTGAAAGTTATTAAAGAACTAGGTCATTTACTTAATTTAGCCACATATTAGCTTAACATCATCCATTCTGTTTTTTTAATTAGTCAACATAATTTTGACAATCATATATGTATGTATGTATGTATTTTCTTGTGTATCTATGGCCCATCTATGGGTTTAAATAAGGTAAAGTTTGGGGAAAGAAAGCAAACTAGCTTCTGAGTACCTGTGTGCCAGGCATAAATAACTTCATCTTGTTAGGTGCAGTGGCTCACATCTATAATCCCAGCTACCAGGGAGATGGAGATTGGGAGGATAAAGGTTCAAGCACAACCCAGACAAGGAAAAAAGTTAGAGAGACCCCCATCTCAATAATCTAGGCATGGTAGTACATGCTTGTGGTCCCAGCTATAAGAGAAGCATACATAGGAAGATTGTGGCCAGAGATTGGCCCTAGGCAAAAACACAAGACACTACCTGAAAAATAACTAAAGCAAAAAAAAGGGCTAAGGGTGTGCCTCAAGTGGTAGAGCTTTGTACTGGGTTCAAACTCCAGTACCAACTCAACAAAATAAAAATAATTTGATCTTTACAACATCATGAGATTTAGTTTTACAGATAAGGAAACTGGAGTTTAAAGAAAGTGGGTGATTTGTTGAGGGTCATATAACTAGTAGGTGGTGAGACTACGCTTGGAAAACTAGTCTTAACTCCAGTGAAGGCAAGTATCTTTGCACTCAAGCTCTGCTCTAAAAACCATTGGCTTGTCGGCACAGCCCCAATAACGGGAATGTTACTGATGGGCATGTTTCAAGTGTGGCCTAAGGACAACATTGAGAGAGCCAAGGATCCTAGAATCTACTTTCTGATTCCTGTTGTCCATAGTCTCTTACCTACTTTGTTTCTCTTCTTCTTTCTTGAAATTTTGAGGCAGGGTCTCACTATGTAGCCTAGGCTGTCCTCAAACTTGAGATTCTCTTGCCTCAGCTCATGAGTGCTGTAATTTAGGGATTGCAGCTCCTGCTTACTTTTTATTTGTCTTACCTGACTTGAGAGTCTTAGTTAATGTTTGCAAAGTATTTTGACATATTTTCAATTGAAGGTGGTTAGGTTAACAGGGTAAAACTTTAAAATTCTGTTACTTCCCTAAGTGTCTGAGTTTCCTAAGTATGTGGACTGTAGTTTTGCCACCTCTTTTCAATGTCAGGAGAAATAGATTTTGTGTTCTTACTAAATATTGTTCAGTTCTTTTCTTTCTTTCTTTTTTTTTTTAATCAAATTGTCTTATTCCAAGCCCACTAAAAGTCATGGATAAACACTAGAAAAGAAGTCCTAAGTCCAAGTTATCTATTCCCACACCTGACTGTGTTTATTGCCCAGCCAAATTTATCAAGTCCTCCCATGTGTGCGTGTGTGTGTGTGGGGGGGTGTATTTGTCAGAGTGAGAGGAGCAGAATTCTGATGGTTACTTTTACTGTGACTAGAAAGTAATGAGAACAATACAGATTAAGAGAGTATTTATTTTACAAACGGTTGTAAAACAGAGCAAAGAATTTGAGTATTTCTTTTCTCATTTCAATGTGATTTTTATTAATAAGAAACAATTTCAATGGGAAAACATGCACATTGTTGACTGACATACTAAGTACTATATTAACAAGGGCTTCGGGCTTGCAAAGCAGGTGCTCTACTGCTTGAGCCATACCTCTGGTCCATTTTGCTCTGGTTATTTTGGAGATGGGGTCTTGTGAACTTTTTGCTCTGGCTGGCCTCGAATCACCTCCTGATCTCAGCCTTCTAGCTAAGATTACAGGCATGAGCTAACGGCACATAGCTTTTTTTTTTTTTTTTTTTTTTTTTTTAAACTGGGGTTTGAACTGAGGACATTGCACTTGCTAGGCAAAGCACTCTACCAGTTGAGCCACTCCTCCAGTCCTGTTTTGCTTTAGTTAATTTTCAGGTAGGATCTTGTGCTTTTTGCCAGGACTGGCCTCAGACTGAAATCCTCCTACCTATGCCTCCTGCATAGCTGGGATTATAGGTGTGCACCCCACCACACCTGGTCAACAAGTATAATCTTTATAGTTTTAGCTATAAATTTGAGATAAAATTAGCTCAAAATAAAAATAACTGACATTTTTACTTTATACTATAGTCTTCAGAGTATGATCTTATTCAGAAATAATTTCATTTTAGTCTCATAGAGGTAGATGTCAGAAAATGCATTTTATAAAGGAGAAATCAGTTCAGAGAAGTTTAAATGGGGCCTCATGTTTCATAGTTAATAAATGGTACAGTTGACTATTACAACCCTTCTGAGTCTCTGCCTAGGCATGTCTTTTCAGAAAGCCCCAAATGATGTAACTGTAATGTTTACTTCTCAGGTGCTATATTGCCAATCTTTAAATCTTTTCAGAATCATCGAGAGACTGGGGGTGAGCAAAGTAGGCAACAAAATTTCCTAGCCAACAGTACCAGGAAATTCTCTGTACAGATGAATAGGAGATAAGGCTGTCTTGACCTAAATTCTGGGAAGGTCTACCACTCCAGCCTCTCATTGCTGCCTCTGTTCCCTGCAGAGTCTCACCTCCTACCTGACCTGAGAAGATAGTTTGGCTATTGGCCTTCTCAACTACTGGACTAGACCTTCCCATAAGCAGGAAGCTTATGTTTATTCCAGCACATTTATGAGGGAAGAACAAGCATTCTGAGTGAGGCATATTTCAATCAATGAAGGAAGATTTTCCCTTTCTGAAGCCTTTCTCGAACTCTCAATTTGATTCCTTTCCTCCTATTTTACAACTTTCCCCTGCTTCTTCCTCCAACCCCTTCTACACCATCCTCTAGCCCAGTAATATATTTTTCTCAGATTTGGCAAAGTACTCATTCTAAAGTAGAATAGTTGTATTGTTCCTCTGCTTAGAACTGTTCCTAAGAACTACCTGACCTAAAAGATGACTTTTCACTGTGTCTTTAAAAACTCATTTATTTGGGTGATCCTTATTATTTAAGCTCACTTATAATCTCCAACCATTTTTTAATTGTGCTTTCTATTTTTCATCTATATCAACATTTATATATAGTATGTTAATAGGCATTACTTGCAAGAAAAATATTTTGTGATCAGATAAGTTTGGGAAACATGGACTGAATAAAATAAAACAAGTATATTTCTGAGCTTTCTTAGACTCTTAAAATATGTTAATCTGTGTGGTAAATCTTGTTGATGCTAACATACAGTGTAAATTACTAATATGATATAAATTACTAATATGATATAAATTACTAATATGATATAATTTCCCCAAACTATGATCACCAAGGAGCATAATTTTTT